TATCAGTACCACGTGGTATCGGCCAGTCCACCTTTTTTAATTAAAAAAGGGCATTTAAAATTCGTAGGTATAACTTAATTTGAATATTCGATTTTTAATTGATACTCTATACACTACCCTTATCTAATTAGTTTTCCACTACATATTAGTTCTAGATTTATAGTGACCAGTTGATAATCTAACTTAAACAGATCCCCTCAAAATACATACTTTATAAACAAATAAAAGAAATATTATAATAGTTTTTTGTATTAATATTTTATTACACTTGTATATTGTAAAAAATACATTGTAAATACTCATCAATAAACGTCATTAGTATTTTTATTTAAAAATAAATCACGTAAATATCATTAAATGTATACTGGGATTGTCCTATTTGGTCCATTAGTCCATTATATTATTATTATTCTGTTATTTTAAAATTTTAAAAATTATGATTTTTTGAAGAGATTTTTAGCATCGTCTAAGCTAAGGTCATACTCAATTTATTATTGATTTTTGGTACGATAAACTATAATAATTAATAGCGGGGTAGACACGGAAACAACAACCGAGGAGGTAGGGGAAGAATCCGGAAGACAAGGGGACAGTAGAAATTCCCCCCCATCACACTCACGTCCGGTTAGGCAAAAGAGACACCGATATACCGATCGGTATAATATGTCAGTGGATTTTAAGAAGAATTAGTAAGGTTGTTTTGTATATATTTTATTTTTTCTGTAATAACCAAAAAGTATGATTAACAAGTTACAAAACTATATTTTGTATAATTTATTTTTAATTCTCTATCCATATATATATACATATATTTTTTTTCCAAGGGAAAAAGTGTTTTATATTAGGCAATTTACTTGTAGGGTAATACCCAACGCCTGTCGCATCGGGTAACATAAGCTATATTTATTATCAATAATTAAGTCTTTGACCAGTTGTCAATATGAATGTTTTTAATCATCTGTTGTGCTAAACCTACCACAGACAAGATCTATGCTCCAAAATAATAGCTCTTAATTCTTTTATATCATAGAATCCTTCTATTTGGTTACCATTAAACGTAATTTATTTTTCTAGAAGTGCAATACACTCAACTGTTTATGAGATTTAATAGGCTGCAAAATCTTTCCAGGAGTCTACAGAGGAAACGTAAATGGATGCGATTACCAGACTGTTTTCACGTGAGGAGAGCAAGCAAAGAATTAATAACTTATGATTTTTGTTGATAATAAGTGCATTTTGTGGTTTTTCACAGTGTTAATGCGTCAGTTTTATTGAAAATAATTGTGATATTACAATTTATAATTTTTTAGAGTTTTAGAAAATACGTATGATAAAATATATGCTAGATATTTATAATATATTGCAGTTATTGCTCTTGTTTCCTGTCTTAGCTCGCTGTTCTTGCGGTCCACCTAACAAATATAATAATAATTTAGATTGTACAGCTGACAATGATGTAATATGTTTTACTTAAATCGACTCACTATTATTGGCGCTGGCACCCATTCCGGAAGCATCTAAACGTGGTTCAGTATTTGCCCCTGGAAAAATATTAATTTAGTCTGAATTGTTTGACTTGCATTCGCAGTTTGAAATAATCATTTAAAGTTATTAAAAAACTATTTCTATTATAAATCCAGTCATCTTTAAACGGCGCAAGTAGTGTTGCTTTCGGATAGCCTAGTTACTCAGACAATACTATTGATAATGATATTTTATTTATGATATATATTGACTTACTAATATTGCTGGTGTCACTAATTTCGTAACTATTCCTTGGCGGATCACTGTTGGTCCCTAAAAAAAACATGTCGTCATTAATTCTGACATGTTTGTCTTGGTTTTGCAGTTTCAAATAATGTTTGAAAGTATTTATTATTTGAGTCATCTCCAGTGGTGCAAGTAGTAGTATTTGTAGATTTCCTAATTATATAGTATTAACTATACTATTAGCAATGATATAATATATACATGCACTTACTACTATTACGGAAAGGGTGGTTTAGCCAAGGTTGACCTATAACAACAGATAACATGATCAATAAATAATAGTTAAATTATTTTTAGCTTCAATGAGACCTAACCTATCTCTTTAACCGTATAATCAATATCACCAAAAGTTAGTAGTAAAAATTAGTAGACGATCTAAGGTATGCCCATGAAAACAGTATTAATTTAGTCTGACTTGTTTGACTTACTTTCACAGCTTGAAATAATCTTTGAATGTTATTAAAAATCGATTTCTATTATAATTCCTTATGCATACGGATAACCTAATTATTCAGACTATACTATTGGTAATGATAATATAATACTTACTATTATAGACAGACGGGTGGATTGGCCTAGGAGGTTGAACTATATCAACAGTTAACATAAACAATAAAAAATAGTTAAATTTTTCTTAGCATTAATGTGAAGCTGGGTATCTCTTTAACCGTATAACTATTATCGATAAGTGTTAGGCCTAGGTCTTTGAAATACAGATCGAATCCTAAAGGTACTTAATATGACCCAATTTGAAAATGGAGCAAGTGGTAATGTTTGCTAAAACCTTATTTTTTCAGACTATACTATTGCAATGATATAATATATACATCGACTTACTATTGTTAACAAAGCCACCAAATCCTGATCCGTAGTACGCATTAGTTGACTGTGCATTGTTTCTCGCTGAAAACAATATAATTTAGGTTTGATTGATTTGATTTGCATTTGCTGTTTGAAACATACCTGGAAAGTTACTACCTGGATTAACTCTATTTATGTAATTAACGTAGTCTGGATCATTTGTTCCATGCACTGGTAATGGCGGTCCGTTGTGCCAACCTGTTGACGTTCTATAGTTTCCCGCTGAAAACGATATCAATTAGGTCTGAGTGATTTGCCTTGCTTTAGCAGTTTAAAACATACTTGGAAAATTAGGATTAATAGTATTCATAGGACTATTCCAGAGTTCACCAGATGGTCCGAGTGGTGGTGGTTGCGGATTTCCTAATTATTCAAACTATACTATTAATAATGATATTTTTTTTTTTTAAGTGTATATCATATTTTGAGAGGCAGGCCAAAAAAGAGTATCATGATCTCTCCTCCTCCTTCTCGAATGATACAATATGAATTATATACATCGACTTACTATTAATGTTGGCGCCACCCATTCCGTAACTATTTGTAGGCTGTTCTGCGCTAGTCCCTGAAAAAATATAAGTGGTAATGTTTGCGAATAACTAATTATTCAGAGTATAATATTGGCAATGATATACTATATGTACACATAGACTTACCACTAGTGCGGAAAGGGTGATGTGGCCAAGGTTGACCTATATCAACAGATAACATAGACAAGAAATTATAGTTTAGTTATTCTTAGCTTCGATGCGAGCTGAGTATCTCTTAACATACTTGGCATGTAGACAGATGGTCCAACTGGTGGTAATTGCGGATTTCCTAATTATTCAGACTATGTTATTAATCAGGATATTTTTTTTTAGGCGTAACGCGTATTTTAAGAGGCAGGCCAAAAAAACGATAGGTGGATGGATTGCGTCAAGATCTGGAGGGATTAGAAGTAATGGATTGGGAGCAAAGAAACCAGGATCGTGATTATTGAAAGATAGTGACAGTAGCAGCCCAACTCGCCCAACAAACGGATCGTTCGTGACTATTCTATTAATAACGCTATAATATTAATTATCTACATCGACTTACTATCAGACTATATCGATACCACCAGTTACGTATATATAAAAAGGCTGTACAGTGTTTGCCCCCGAAAAAGTATGAATTTAGTTTGACTTGTTTGACGTGCAATCGCAGTTTGAAATAGTCTATGAATGTCATTAAAAATCTATTTATATTATTATCCCAGTCTTCTTAAAATGGCGCAAGTTGTGATTATATGCTTTGTTTATGTAAAAAAAGATCAGGTTTTAATATTATCACAAAAATAATTTATTTAATAATAATAAATTGAAATGTTTAAATAAAATTCGGCCGGCTTCCTACATAACTTATAGTAAAGTAACCAATGAACTCGAACCTCTTTTTTGCATTTTTCAAGTAAAAAAAAAATCCGGTTTTAATATTGAAAAAAATTACAAAATTTCATTATTTAATTACAATAAACTGAAATGTTTAAATAAAAGTCGGCTTCCTACATAGCATATAGTAAAGTAGCAAGGAACTCGAGTTCCTTTACAGATATAAAATTGGACATAAGATGATGTAGTCGACATTTTGGTCTAATAAAATCCAAAATGGCTTTTACTCATAGAAAAATTGTTTTAAATTAAAAATAATACTTTTACAAATTACTGTTAAATTTATTGCATGGTCTAAATTTATTAAAACCTCTTACATATTAAAAATGTCCCATACAAATCTTCCTAACAACAGAATGCATACTATCCCCTAACTATTTGTACCTCGTCTCTCAGCGTGGAACAGTATTTTATTAGATATGAAATTTATGAATTATAATCCTTACTTCTGGTCCCCTTATCAATCGCAACTATAACTATTGGGAATGAAATAATATATACAACTACTTACTATGAATTTCGGGTCCAAAAACTCCAGGTTGGTAGTAAACATTTATAAGCAGTGGACTCTTTCCCCCTGAAAAAATATTAATTTAGTTTAAGTTGTTTGACTTGATTTCACAGTTTAAATTTAGTAATGATGTATTCTGATATTCTAAATATTCAGACATTACTATTAGGAATGATATAATATAAACATCGACTTACTATTATTGCCGGTGCCATAAACTCCAGATAGGTAGTAAATCTTAATATGCGGTGCTTGGTCTCTACCTGAAAAAAATATTAATTTAGTCTAACTTGTTATACTTGATTTCAAAGTTTAAATAATTTTTATTAGTTATTAAATATCAATACATATTATTTTCCCAGTCTTCTCCTTATGGTGCAAGTAGTGGATATCCTAATTATTTAGCCATTACTATTGTGTATGATAAAATATATACATAGACTTACTATTTTCGCCACGCAAATCAAATTCGAAAATGTTTTCCTCAACTCCGTAAGTATTCGTAGGTGATTCAGTTTTTGCCCCTGAAAAAATATTAATTTACTCTACTTGTTGGTTTGCTTGCAAATTTTAAAATAAACTTGAACATTTATTAAGAACATTATCAATAGTATTATTCCAGTGCTTTCTAAATGGCGCAAGTGAATAACCTAATCATTCAGACTGCACTATTGGTATTGATATAAAATGTACATTAACTCACCACTATTATTCAAAGGGTCTTGGCGTTGGCTATATTCGTTTTCACCAGCGATGTAAAAATCCAAAGGCGGTGGTCTCCCTGAAAATAATATTAATTTAGTTTAAAATGTTTAACTTACTTTAGCTGTCTTAGACACAAATATTAAGACATTTTTCAAAAATAATGTTTTTATATAATATTTGAGCTGGTTTCTAATTTGTGTGTGATATTTATTTAACATAACACTAGTATGGAAAATCTAGTTCCTAGTGAAACTAGTCAAGTAGATAACCAGTTTTGAGTAGGGACCAGTCAAAATTTTCAGCAAAATTGTCTTAAATTAAATAACTGTATGTTTTATGCATGGGTCAACTATTCTAAATGTTTGTGTATCATCAAAATATCAGATGTAACATGAAACTCTGATAACACTGTTAACAACCATGGGCAAAATGAATTACAAAATCATTAATTGATTACAAAGGGATTATAGATTACTCTCAAAACGGAAATTATATTTATATCAGTATATAAGTATATAATATATATCAGTATATCATATCAGTATTAGATCCTCAGTTTATGGACTATTTTTTTTCTCCCAAATGAAATATTTTATAAAACTTTCATAAAGCATTTCAAAAAAATGAATTTCATAAAAATTATAGAACCATAATTGTAATGTAGGTGTACTGCCTCTAAATGTTTGATAAACTAAATAAAACATCCACAGATTGTTACAGTATTATAAATTATTACCTCAACCGTTCATTACTATCATAAATTAATGTTTTTAAGAACAATTTGATTTGAACAATTGAAATCCCCATGCGTGTTAATAATGGTGTTCAAAAACTTCAATCTTCTACAATATGGTTAAAGTAAAAAAAAAATGTAAAAATCGAATATTTACCTCAATACATTCATTAGACTAATAACTTAATAAATTGATTAATTTTGGTTTTCCTTTAATTAGTATTTCAAAATAGTTGTTTTCCATTAATGGTCGAAAGTTTTAAAATCTTAAATAATATCTATACATATCTCCTTAAAAACAGATTGCATGCAGTCCCCTTAAAATTGACCAGTTATTATGGAAAATTTGTTTTCGTATACAAAACCGTATTAAAAGTAAACAAAAATAACTGTGTTGATATTATAATGTAAAAAAACGTATGGAAGATGAGTCATAGATAATTCTCATATATTATGAACTTTTTGTAGCTCGTGTCACAGCATGGAAATTATTTTATTAAATTAAAAAATTAATATTTAATATCCCTACTTCTGATCTCCCTATCACTCGCAACTAAACTTTTGGAATATAATATATACATCGACTTACTATTATTTTCGGGGCCATCAACTCCACATGGGCAGTAAATATGAATATGCGGTGGACGGTTTTCCCCTGAAAAAATATTAATTTAGTTTAAATTGTTTGACTTGGTTTCACAGTTCAAAATATCTATATAGGTTATTAAAAATCTATTTATATTATTATTTCAGTCTTTTCCTTATTTATAGTGCTTGTGGACATCCTAATTATTTAGACTTTACTATTTGGATATATATATATATATATATATATATATATATATATATATATATATATATATATATATATATATATATATATACGACTTACTATTAGTAACTCCAGATTTGTAGTAAATATTAATATGCGGTGGACGGTCACTGCCTGAAAATAATATTATTTTAGTCTACTTGTTATACTTGATTTCACAGTTTAAAAAATCTATTACTATAACTTATGTTATTAAAAATCTATTTATATTATTATTCTAGTCTTCTCCTAATTGTGCAAGTAGTGGTGCTTGTGGATCTCTAATTATTCAGACTTTACTATTGGATATGATATAATATATACATCGACTTACTATTTTTGTCACGCAAATCAAATTCGAAAATGTTATCCTCAATTCCGTAAGTATTCGTAGGTGATTCAGTTTTTGCCACTGAAAAAATATTAATTTACTCTGACTTGTTGGTTTGCTTGCAAATTTTAAAATACACTTGAAAATGTATTAAAAACATGATTAATAAAACATGATACTATTATTCCAGTCTTTTCTAAATGGCGCAGGTGGTAATGTTTTTCAATAACCTATTCATTCAGACTGCACTATTGGTAATGATATAATATGTACATTAACTTACCACTATTATTGTCAGGGCCATTGGCCATGTTAACATGATGGTTACCATCGATTTCAATATTAATAGAGTTTCTCCCTGAAAACAATATTAATTTAGTCTAAAATGTTTGACTTGCTTTCGCTGATTTGGAATCAATATTTTAAGACATTTTTTTTTTAAATTACACTTCAAAAAATAGTAGAATTAGTTCCTAACTTGCGTGTGATATAGCTATTCTATTAAGAATAATTTGCTGAGAACTTTGACTTCCAACCAATTTTGGATTATTACTTATTAAGTTTTTAAGTTCAAATTCTAAGATGGGAGGTGGAGTGCGGCAGAGTAATGCGTGCAGATAAAAATAACTATCTACCGCATTCCACCTTTCATCCTACCTTTTAACTTTTATTAACTTATAAAGTAATAATCCAAAATTGGTTGTCGACCATTAACTCTTGGATTTTTTTTTTTTTAATTTAATTTAGTAAAATAGTCAAGTGCAATAAATAACGTTTGGCTTGTAGCGCAATTGTAAAATAATTAATTGAAAAAAAATAGCTTAAATTATTGCCTAGAACAAAAGTTATTTCATTTGCCTTAACTTTGTGGGGCACCCTGTAAAAAAACTAAATCATTTATTTGTGTTATACCATTTAATAATTAGAATTATAAAAATAGTTAACGTTTTCTACGACTATTTCGTTTATATTTGGTTAATCGTTTTTATTTATACTATCCCTAGTAAATAATTAAAGTAATGAAATATTAAAATTCAATTTAAATGAAATAATGTAATATGTACTATTTTTATATCTTTACTACAGATAATCACAAGTGTTGCTAGTGTATTATACTATACATAATTCACAAAACAAATAATGCAAGTTGGACATATAATTTTTTTTTTTTTTAAATAAATTAAAATACTTTTTTAACATGTTAAGATTGATATGGAGAAGTTAAAACCGTGCAAAAAATGTATTCAACAGAATTAATTCAATTGGTTATTCTTTTTTAAAAATATTTTAATTTATTGTTTTGATAGTATTATACGAATTATAACTATAATAATGAAAATAAGAAAAAAATAAGAATATTTAAAAATATAATCAAGAAAGTTGTCTGCAATCCATCATTGGTATGCTACTATGAGTTCTTCACTTACGCCTAATCTATAATTTTAGCTAACACTAAATTTATGTGACATAAAATTATTCTAATAACTTTTTAAAAATAGATGATGTGGCAATCTCTTTTCGAATGAATTCAACATTTAGAAAGGAATTAACTTTATTTACATATACAAAGTTTTAAATTCGGTAGAACGCGTCATGACTTATATATTACCTTGGCAAAACCCCATCGTAGCTGACAACAGAATAATACTAAATAATAAGATCTTCATGATTATAATTTTGGACCTATTTAGTACAACGCCAAATACTTAATAGAAAAGTAAATTGAATGATAAGTAATATAACTTGTAAGAACCACAATAAACTGAATTCTATAGCTTCAAATTAAGAAGTACCATATTTTCTTGGTGGCACGTCCGAGCTGAAGTAAATAAATGTAAGAATATTTTGTACGTATACAACTGTATAAATATGAGATATCGCAAGTATTCGCTATATTGTTTTAATAACATGTTGTCTGACTAACTGAGAAAATAAAATTGATTATTTGTTTTATTTTATGTAAATATTAGTAGCCTATATTGTTGTGTCTAAGTTTTTAATGTTCGTAACAAATTCAAAAATTCATATATTTTCATAAACAGAATTAACACTGTTTTTTTATAATTTAAAGCGACTGGCCTTTTAATAATTATGAAAAAAATTTACAAATTTCATAGGTCTTCTAGGTATTTGATTAACTTGGAAAATAAAATTGATTACTTTTTTTATTTGATGCAAAGTTATAGCCTATACGATTGTACCTACTTTGATGTACCATTGTTCAAATATAAATCAATGTGTGTACAAAGCTATAGTAACAGCTATAGTCGGTGGCAACTGGTTTATATCTATGAAGATTTTGGGTAAAGAAGAAGGCTAAATATATTTTTATTAGAGCTATGAGATATTTATTCCAATATAAATCTAGCTAAAGTAGTAATATAAAAGTAATCAGTAGAGTAAGGTTGAGAAGGCCAGTAATTGAGAGATTCTTCAAACATGTACTTGTTATGCAAGACAGGTATCTCACCAAAACTGGTCTAATACACAGTGTGTACCTAATTAATATTTCCCGAAATTTTTAATTTTTGCAATTTAGTTTCTTTCTGTCTCTGTTTAGCTAAATTTAGAATTTTTCTCAGAAATAATATACTTTTTTACAATGTAAGGAAAATATAAAAATTCTGATTACAGTTTAATCTTATACGTTTTAAGTATTGTGTATACAATTTATACATATTTAATGTTATTGATTTGTGATGCATGCTAAGAAATCATTTTTATAAAGTAGGTAAAACTATTAAAAATTTAATAATTTAGTATACCAACAGGAAAATATAAATCTACAGCCTACATTGAAACATATACGCCCAGTTATGCCAATTTTTTCTGTTCAAAGTCATCCTAGTTCACATTTTGCAAACGTCGGTAGTATGAAAAAATAAAAAGAATCACATAATATGACATAACTGTGAACTCGTATACAATGTGTGGAAATACCACGGGGCTTTTTGGCCAATGTTACCCAAAGTTTCAAAAAAAAAAAAATACTATTTGTAATACTATACATTAGTTGTTTAATTATAATTTCTACTCAAATGTTATGCTAAACTGTACATTATGCCGAAGTGTATTATACAATAAATAAATACATAAAGTTATTAACAACAGGTGAAATGGACATAATGTTGTCTCCAACCTGTTTAGTTATTTGATTTTTAATTAAGTAAATAAAGGAATTGTAATTTATATTTTTTTCGAGTTACAGCATATTTGCTTAGCAGGGCAGTGTCCGTCTCAATTTATGGATATAAATTAAACTTACTGTATTTACAAAATTATAAGTCAAACAAATAAACAGGATGGCGATCAAATTATGTCAATTTCATCTGTTATGATTACCCTATTATACTTGTTTATTGTAAAATAGACGTCCGAAGGCATAATGCACAGTGTAACACAAAATTTGAGTGATAACAAGAGATGCATTACTATTCATCTAAAAGTTGTTTATAAATAACAAATTAATTTTTGACTGAACAGAAACAAACATAGCAATGAACGCTGACAAACCAAAAAAAAACATCATAAACCATTTTCCCTCAAAGGAGTGGAAGCTTTTTAGTTAGTTATCTTGTTTAGGTAAAGTTTTAATATTTGAGGCCTAAAAATTAGACCCAAGATAGATCTTATATGAGCCTATGACTATACCATTTTCTCAAAAACCTGCAGTTAAACTTTATTTGTATTAAGGAAAAACCAAAAAAAGGGGAAATTTACACTTTGACCGTAGTCAATTTCTAGGTTGCTATGTGTGAGTGAATCATCAGCCAACAGGTAATGAAAATATTTTCATTATATTGTTAATTACAATATATGGGTAACTATGGGTGTATATTTAATTATAAACAGACGATCAACCCTAATCGTATTCACTTTAATACTAAAAATACAATATTATGCATATTATTGAAATCGATATATATCTATATATACACTAAGGTGTATATTTGAAAGTGATTCTATCTAAATACAATTATAATGATCCATCTAAATTTAATCAGTTTTTACATGTTATTTGATTTCTACCTAAAAAGTTAACGATACATTTTGTATTGTTTGATATTGCAGACTTTAGACAAATAACTGTTAGCAAATAACATTTTTTAATTTTTGCGTTATAAAAACTGTTGTATTTTACAAAAATAATTTTTATAGACTTGTTGTAAATGAACCAAAACAAATATTTTTTCAAATACGTATATCTTGTATTTTACTTAAATCTTCTGTTTGCACAAAAGCTAACATTTATACACATTTTATTATTATATAACACAATAAAACAAATGGGCTAAATAAAAAACCAGGCAAACGTTGATAAAAAATGATGTTATATTTTTATACAACATTTGTATTTGCTACAGTATTTATAACAATATGGTATTATCGTGCAAACAAATTCAAATGTTCAAAAACAAATAATAAAACACAATTTTATTTATATATGTATACATTTTGTATAGTTTGATAGCGAAGACTTTAGCCAAAAGACAAATACCAGCTGTTAGCATCTGTTGGCAAAAGTTTTGTATATTTGAATTTGTTTGCATGATAGTACCATTTTGTTGCAAATATTATATGGAAAATAAATCAGATATTAATATTAAAGCAAATGTTTTTTCACCTACCTATATCTTTTACTCTGGTTAACACATGTTTTATTATTGTGTTCATATTTGCCGATAAGGTATTGTTTGTAAATTTTGTGTCTACGCACTATTGATATTATAATCATAAATAATGCAATAAAGCAATGAGGGTCCCTTAAAAAAGAGTTAAATATTTTAAAACATAAAAGTATATGATACCTACAGGTGTCATTAAGAGGATGTTATAGCCTTTCGTAAAAACGTGTTTATGGAAAAGCGAGTAGCGTAATTTATCTTCCATCCAAATCAGAATACCAATCTATAGCTTTAATTTTAGTTTGGTCACATTTAACGTTCCTAATTTTATGATGTATTAAACTATTTATTACTATTGTTTTATTACCAATTTTTAATGTTGTTATAAATGTATTCACATTTGAATCATTTATTGATATTATTATTGAAATATTTATTATCTTTGTTAATTGAGATATTGTACTTGTGCCATGGGGGCAATTATTTATTTATTATTATTATTACTATTATATATTAAGCAGTTTACTTGTAGGGTAATACCCAACGCCTGACACATCGGGAGCATTAGCTATGTTTATTATCCATAAACCAGTCTTTGACCAGCCGTCAATAGAAATGTGTCTTAAATTGTCAATAATTCAAATTTTTAAACTTAAAAAATTAAAATAAATGGGTTTTTAATCACCTGTTGTGTGACCCCTACTACGGACAATATCTATGTTCCAAAATAAGAGTTCCTAATTCGTTTGTTCGAGTGAATCTTTTTATTTGTTTACCATTAGGTGTAATTTATTTTTCTGGAAGTGCAATACGCTCAGCTGTTTATGAGATTCAATAGACTGCTTTCCAGGAGTCTCCAGTAGAAACGTGATTGCATGCGATTACCAGACTGTGGTTAAAGAATACCAAAAGAAGTATGATTACGTGAGGAAAGCAATTAAACAAACAATATGTTACTTGTCACAGTGTGTATGGATTAGTTTTATTTGAAATATTTGTGTTATTATAACTTATATTTTTTCTTATAGTTTTAGAAAACAAGTATGATAAAATAATTCAATATTTATGATATTACACAATTGTTTTCTGTCTCAGGTGGCTGTTCTTGTGTATCACCTAACAAATAATTGACTTATTCAGATTATACTATTGATTATGATATCATTTATATTATATGTACGATGACTTACTTCTATTGCGGAAGCGGCGGTTTGGCCAACGTTCACCTACATTAACAGATAACATGACCAATAAATTGTAATTCAATTATTTTTAGCTTCAATGCAGAGCTGAGCATCTCTTTAACCGTATAAACAATATCGACAAATCTTAGTAATAAAAATTAGTAGACGATCTATGGTATCCCCCTGAAAATAATATTAATTAAGTCTGACAGATTTAACCTGCTTTGAAAGTTATTAAAAATCGATTTACATTATACTTTCTGTCTTCTTCAAATGGCGCAAGTAGTGGTACTTGCGGATATCCCACTTATTCATACTATACTATTGATAATTTTATAATATTTATTATATACATCGACTTACTATCATTATCGTTGCCACTAATTCCGTTAATATAAAAAGGCGTTTCAGTGTCTGCCGCTGAAAGGATATTAATTTAGTCTAACTTGTTTAACATGCTTTCACAGTTTGAAATAATCATAGAAAGTTATTGAAAATCTCTTTCTATTATAATTCCACTCATCTTCAAAAGTTGAAATTAGTGGTGCTTATTATATTATAGTTGAGTATTTGCATTAACGACCGATTGCTTCGTTGGCGTTTGGTCGTTGGTATGTCAGCTCAAACAGCTGATCTTTTTTTTACTACTATTCCTCTTTTATTTTATTATTTTTAACTCATAATTGTTTACTGCATACATAATAGGGATTCCCGACAATTTTATTATTCCTTGTAATTAAACCACCCTTGTGACATACTCCAAGAGGTCTATTACAAAAAGATATAATTTTTATTATATACAACGACTTACATCTATTGCGGAAGCGGGGGTTAGGCTGACGTTGACCTATATCAACAGATAACATGACCAATAAATAATAGTTAAATTATGTTTAAGCTTCAATGCAGAGCTGAGAATCTCTTTGACCGTATAAACAATATCGACAAATGTTAAGTTTATAAATTACAGATCGTATACAAAAGGTACTAATATGACAAATTTTTACTATATACATCTATTTACTATTATAGCCTGAGCCACCAACTCCAGGTCCGTAGTAAGAACTAGTTGACGGACTAGAGTTTCCTATTGTAAAAAATATTAATTAGTTCTGATTGATTTTACATTGCTTTCGCAGTTTGGCACATACTTGGAAGGTTAGTAAAAATATTATTTATATAATGATTAAAGTATTCTCCCAGTGGTCCATCTGATGATGTTTGCGGATATCCTAATTGTAGAGAATATAGTGTTAACAATGATGTAATATTAATTATATACATCGACTTACTATTATTGTCGTTGGTATCAATTTCTAAATTATATGTAGGCGGTTCAGTGTTTGTTCCTGAAAAATATAAATTTAGTCTGACTTGTTTGATTTGCTTTCACAGTTTGAAATAATCTTTAAATGTTATTGAAAATCGATTTCTATTAAAATTCCAGTCATCTTTAAATGGAGCAAGTTGTGGTACTTGCGGAAATTCTAATTATTCAGACTATACTATTGGCACTGATATAATATATACAGCGACTTACTACTATTGCTTGAGGGGCGGTTTGGCCAACGTTGACCTTTATCAACAGATAACATTACTAATAAATAATAGTTTAATTATTTTTAGCTTCAATGCGGAGAATCTATTTAAACCGTATAATCAATATCGACAAATGTTATGTTTATAAATTACAGATAGTATCCAAAAAGTAATTAATATGACTAAATATGACAAATGTTTACTACGTCCTATCCATAATCAAGAATAGTACCGTAACATTTAGAAAATGTTTACAAATTTCGGCACCCTGTAGCTTTTTAAAAAATAGTTTAGTTAGTCATAATAATTTGTGTTTACATTGTGACGATTTAATAGAATAATTATTAATATTATATTGTATTGTATGATAATGTACAAAATAGTTATTCGCTATAACTATTGTAACATCAGGGTTCTACCGTTCAGGAAAAACATTTGAATACACAACCGTCAAAACAAAATACGTTAAAAAACACTTGTTTTTCGATAACCAACAAACCATAACAATTCGTATAGTAATGTTTGTAAATTTGCAATAAATGCTTCTAAAATAATTGCGTACAAGCTGATTTAGACCAAATATCCATACAAAATTTGGACTACATAGGATGGTTCGAATATGAATTCTGAAAAAAAATAACAGCCTGGCAATTTTACTAGGTTTTGAAGGAAACATATTTTTGATATTTAGCTTTTTTTTGTATAAAAAAAATCAGGTTTTAATATTAAAAATATTAAAAATTTAATTTATTTAATTACAAGACACTGACATTTTTTATTGAATTTGATTGGACCAAAAATGGCTTCCTACATAACTTATTGTAAATTAGCCAAAGAACTCGAATCTCTTTACAGAAACAAAATTGGAACCATTCTACGTAGTCGACATTTTGTCTGGCTTTTTGGTCTAAAAAAACCAAAATAGCTTTTTCACATAGAAACATTTGTTTTAATTAAAAATAATACTTTGAAGCATTTACAAATTAACTGGTTAATTAATTGACATGGTCGAAAGTTATTAAAACCTCTTATATCTTAAATATCTTCTATACATATAAAAACGAATGTATGTCTGTTTGTCCTTTATGCATTACTACACCATTCATCCGATCGCCATGAAACTTTGGGAAGTTGTTGAGTACACTCCCTCAAACGTTTCAGGGTTTACTAAGTTTCATACTTTTTGAAAATTCCACCTCTAAGGGTGGCCTCAAACACGAATTTTGTTCTTTAAATACGAATACGAATATGTTTATTTTTTGGTTGCTAATCCAAAATAAACAATTGTTTTGTCACCATACTGGTAACCATAGTAACTAATGGAATCACACTTTAAATTCGTGCATTTCATCGTGAGTTAAATCGATTTCAATTCTCATAATTTTTCGAACAACTTTCACTTAGATGAATGATGCAGCAATGCATAAAGGACAAACAGACATACATTTCTTATTTATATATAGATAATTATTCATTTCACTTAGCCCTGGCGACTAAACGCCGGGTGACGAGAGCTAGTTGCTTAAACAAATCTCCTTAAAAACAAACCGCATACAATCCCCTTAAAATGTCAACAGTTATTATGGAAAATTTGTATTCGAATACAAAACAATAATACAAGTTATCAAAAATAACTGTGTTTACTTTATAATCCAAGAAAAAGTATCCAAGATGAAGAAGAAGTTATCTTTGACACATTTTATGTACTTTTTGTACCTCGTCTCTCAGCGGGGAAAAGTATTTTATAAAATTTGAAATTTCAAAATCACACTTCTGATCTCCCTAGCACCCGCAACTGTACTAGTAGTAATGATATAATACATACTTCGACTTACTATTATTTTCGAGGCCATCAATTCCACTACTTGATTGGTAGTAAATATTAATATGTGGTGGACGGTATCCCCCTGAAAACAATATTAATTTTGTCTAACTTGTTAGACTAGATTTCACAGTTTTTATAAGTAATAACAAACAATTTTTATATTATTATTCCAGTCTTCTCCTAATGACGCAAGTAGTGGTGTTTACAGATATCGTAAATATTCAGACATTACTATTAGGTATGATATAAATAAAGTGCCGCAAAAACCGCAGGGGCAGCCGGGGCCTCTTGGAGTTAGCTATGGGCACCGTCTCTATCTGGGTCATTGCATTATGTTTTCATAAAAAATTATTGAATACATTTATTTGTATAATTTTACTATTTTATTACTTGTCGAACAATGGGGCTCTCCAGATTGCACATAACATTATATTAAGCATTACTATTTATAAGATATAACATTATTATAGTGTTCATTGGAATGTTTGACAATATTGACAGTCGTCAGTTATTATTATTTATTTTTTATGGTTTGTAATAAGGTAAACTTTTTTTTTATATTTATTTATAAATAAATGTTAAAATATATAAAGTTTATGTTTTGCTATACTTTTTTCATAATCATATTTTAACAAATACTAGGCCTGTAATAAAAAAAACACTAAAAGAGTAGGTACTTATAAGTTATATTTTAATAACAACACATGAGCCTACTGTACATTCGATTTGCAAGCTTCCTAAAAAAAAAACACCATCAATACCTTTGTATAACTTATAAGCCTATGAAAAAATATTACGTACATAGTCCTTAGAGCCCCAATATATCTAGTTGCAGCACTATACAATATATACATAGACTTACTATTATTGTCAGTGAAACGAAAATCATATTCAAAAATGTTATTTTCAACTCCGTAAATATTTGCAAGTGATTCATTGTTTGTCCCTGAAAAAATATTAATTTACTCTGACTTGTTGGCTTGCTTACGCAACTTGATATAATCTTAGAATGTTAATAAAAATATGATTTATGTTATTATTCTAGTCATCTCTAAACGATGCAAGTGGCAATGCTTGCAGATACCCTAATTATTCAGCCTGTACTATTGGAAATGCTATAATATAGTATATACATTGACTTACAATTATTTACGGGGCCATCAACTCCAGATTGGTAGTGAATATTAATACGCGGTGGATGGTTTATTCCTGAAAAAAATATTAGTTTAGTCTAACTTGTTAGAATTGATTTCGTAGTTTAAAAAATCCATATAAGTTATTAAAAATCGATTTATATTATTATTCCAGTCTTCTCCTAATGACGCAAGTAGTGGTGTTTGCAGATATCCTAAATATTCAGACTTAAGTATTGGGAATGATATAATATATACATCGACTTACTGTAATTGTCGGTGCCACAAAGATCAAATTCTAAAATATTATCATCAACTCCGTAAATATTCATAGATGATTCAGTGTTTTCCCCTGAAAAAATATTAATTTACTCTGAATTTTTGGCTCGCTGAAGCAGATTGAAATAGTCTTAGAATGTTAATAAAAATATTATTTATATTATTATTCTAGTCTTTTCTAAATGGCGCAGGTGGTAATGATTGCGGATAACTTAGTCATTCAGACTGCACTATTGGAAATTATATAATATAGTATATACATTAACTTACTATTATTTTCAGAGTCATCAACTCCAGATTGGTAGTAAATATTAATATTCGGTGGATGGTCTCTCCCTGAAAAAATATTAATTAAGTCTAACTTGTTAGTCTTGATTTAACAGTTTAAAAAATCTATATAAGTTATTAAAAACTGATTTATATTATTATGCCAGTCTTCTCCTAATGGTTCAAGTAGTGATGCTTGCAGATAAACTAATTATTCAGACTTTACTTTTGGGAATGATATAATATTATATACATCGACTTACTATTATTTTCCGGGCTATCGTTTCCAGGTTGGTAGTAAATATTTATATCCGATGGACGGTTTCCCCCTGAAAAAATTATTAAATTAGTCTAACTTGTTAGTCTTGATTTAACAGTTTAAATAATCTGTACAGGTTGTTAAAAATCGATTTATATTACTATTTCAGTCTTGGCCTAATGGTTTAAGTAGTTTTGCTTGCAGATAAACTAATTATTCAGACTTTAATTTTGGAAATGATATAATATATACATTGACTTACTATTATTTTCGGGGCCATCATCTCCAGGTTGGTAGTAAATATTAATATTCTCCGGTGGCTGGTTTCCCTCTGAAAAAATATTAATTCATTCTGACTTGTTGGTTTGCTTGCAAATTTTAAAATACACTTGAAAATGTATTAAAAACATGATTAATACTATTATTCCAGTCTTTTCTAAATGGCGCAGGTGGTAATGTTTATGAATAACCTATTCATCCAGACTGCACTATTGGTAATGATATAATATAAACTTTGACTTACCACTATTATTCCCAAGGTCACTAACTTGGTTTACACTATCGATGTAAATATTATTAAGCGGTGGTTGGTTTCTTCCACCTGAAAAAAATATTAATTTAGTTTGACTTGTTTGGCATGTTTTCACATTTTGAAATAAACTTGAAAATTTATTAGAAAAATTATGAGTACTATTATTCCAGTGTTTTCAAAATGGCGCAGGTGGTAATGTTGGCGGATAACTTTATCATTCAGGCAATTTTTTTGGTAATGATATAATATAAACATAATCTCATGAAATGTTATAATCTCATAGTCATCTGTTATAATCTCATGGACAGAAAAGATAAAAAATGCTGAGGTTTTCAGGAGAATGAATACCCAAAAATCAATATGGAAGACTGAGAAGAAAAGCATGGATCGGACACGTTATAAGGAATAGTCCCTGGATAACCACAATAATAGAGGGAAAAATCGAAGAAAAACCTGGAAGAGGAAGGCCTAGAACTCCATTTCAGAATCAGGTGATGGAACATACTGGGAGCTGAAGAGGATTATAAATGACAGAGATAAGTGGAGAGAGACATCAATAATCATTTAACCAATCTTCGGATTGAAAAAAAAATATATATATATAAACGTTGACTTACCACTAATATTGCCAGGGTCTACACCACCGATGTAAATATTAATAGGCAGTGGTCGGTTTCTTTCTGAAAACATTATTAATTTAGCCTAAATTGTTTGACTTGCATTCGCATTGTTAGAAACAAATATTAACTTTTTTTTAATATATGCATTTAAAAAAATAGTTGAGTTATTTCCTAATTTGTCATTTGTGTGTGAAATTCATTAAACATACACCACTGTGATAAATCTAGTTTCTAGTGAAAGCCTTTGTTTGTGTTGATTCAGGTACATGGATAACAACAGCAATAAATTATTTTAAACAGACGGTTAATCCTTAAACTAAAATTCCATTTTTTACCACATTATGTCATTATCGATATTAGTATTTCTACATATTCGCATTGAAGCGTTTATTTGAAATTGATTTTATTTATTTTAGTTGTAATAAGTTTTTCATTATACAATTATAAATATGTTCCGTACCATTGTACTAGCTTTTTTCAAAATTATTTTTCCACTTTCAGTAATAATTCCTGAAAAACTATGATCTAATTTTTCTTACCTTCATTATTGTCAGCACACCTGAATAAAAAACGTTTGTTAATAAACGTTTAATTAGTGATAACTTGATAAAATACTTGGAAGAACTTTTAAAAATGTCCTCTAATACTAGTACTCACTTCACGTATGCTGCAAAACAAAGCTAAAGATTAATTTTTAAATTTATCATATTTTTATTGTTATGTTATAAGCATATTCAAATGTTAAAATATACTGTTTAATACTTGATGTGATAATAAAAGTGATGTTTATGATAAATGTCAAGACAACAACAACCAAAAATAACGAATAACATTTTTTTTTTATATACTTAGCCATTTTATTACTACAAGAAGCAACATCCCTTTCATACATTGTTTTGCCACTGGTATGACAGAATTATAACAATCGTAATAAATAGGAGAAAAAAGTATAATTCTAAGCTATACGGTTTATAAAAATAGAACCAAGAAAGTTGTTTGCAATCCATCATCGGTATGCTACTATAAATTATGCACCCACACCTATTCTAATTTGTATAGAAAATTAATATTCTTATAGCTTTTTAAAAATAGATTGTTTTGGCATTTTATTTTCGAATAAATTGAATATTTAGAAATTAATCATGACGATCGATTTTTTTTTCAATGCATATCTTGATTAACCAATATTAGATCATTATACCAAAACTTTATTTGGGTATACAAAGTTTTAAATTATGTAGAACGTGTCATAACTGATACATTACCTTGGAAAAACCCCATAGTAGCTGACAACAGAATAATACAAAATAATAAGATCTTCATAATTGTGATTAAATACCTATTTAGAGTACAACGTCAAGCACTTAATTTTAAAGCAACTTGAGTATTAGGTAATAGAACTTATAATAACCACAAGAAACTGAATTCTATAGCTTCAAATTAAAAAATTACATATCTTTTTAGTGGTAAGTGGCGCATCAAAGCTGGAGTAAATAAATGTAAGAATATTTTGTATGTATACAACTGTATAAATAACAGATATCGCAAGTACTCGCTATAATATAAAAAAATAACAACGTTTTTATAATAAACATAAGTTGTTTTTAATGAAAAACCATTATTTTTGTTCTGATTACTACGTTATTAACCAATGCAGCACTTTAACCAACAACTTTATTGAATTTGAATATTAGAAAATGGTTTATACTTTAACAACGGGTATAAGAACATAATGGTAATACCTCCTTATATGTTTTAGGTATGGTTTGTAGTTGTTAAGATAAAACTGATTATTTGTCTCACATTATCGGTAAAATATTATATAATAAATAAAAGTTTTAGCAGATTTTAATGAATAATATGCGAGTTTCTTATAATAACAATAACCTGTAAGTGATACGATTAAAATTTAAATCAACCGCCAATATTAATGTTGTGTGCGGCGGTAAACTAATGTGTACTATGTACAATATATTATTATCTTTAATTTTGTGGTATGCTTAAACTATTACCAGACTCCTCGTTATAGTTTGCTGTTTGTTCAAATTTCATTTTTCTTATCTGTGAGATAAATGATGATTAGTGTTACATGTTATTTATTGATATCAATTTCTAACGTGTGTCTCGCTATTCTATTAATGGTTATTAGTTATTATATTTAAAGTAGTAATATTCTATTACTATAATTATTATTATCAATGGTATTAAATATAGGCTTCAAAAATTTCATAACCAACAACTGAAAAAAAAACTGCTAGGTTTTGCAATTATACAACACTAAATCATCTGAACTTTAGTGAAAGGAATCTGAAAAATAAAAAAATGATAAAACTGTGACATAAGAAAGTAGTATATATCGTAATAGTTATTGTTTTAAATAAGTGGTGTAGTTAGATTTATAATCTAGAAGGGAAAGCTTCAGATTGTTTATGGAGCTTAGCCCTTACCTCGTGATTGCACCACTCCCAATAACAATTGTACAAATGATACTTAATTACTATTTTTAAAATAAGGCAACTTTAGTTCAAGTCATACATTTATTGTGATCAAATCATAAAATTATAAAAAAAAATAATATTACAGATTAATATAAAAAGGTACAAACGCAAAATAATCAAGATAAATAACAACACGATAGACATAAAAGGGTTTAAACACAACATAAACAAGATAAATAACAATATTTACAGAACATGATAAATATAAAAGGATATAAACAAGATAAACAACAACATTTTAAAGAAGAAAATAAGAAAAAAATAGTAATAATAAGTAAGCAAAACAATGTGATGATCAATATGAAATTGTACATTTTTTGTACAGAGAAATCTGTTGGCGGCAGATTTGTGCAGGTGTTATGCGCTGAGCATAAAGTCTCGATCGACGTAAAAGCTTTATAATATGAAGTTGATATTATATTTTGGCTGTGTTACAACAAAAATAGGTTAGAACTGAAATAAACACATTACTAACAAACGCGGTGTCTTACGGTAATAACTTATGTGCGACCGTGCGTCCCTCCGCCGTTGATACATTGCGGCGATTTCCAACACTCTCTCGTACGACGGGGGCGGTTTAGGTTTGCGCTTCCGTTTCATTTCCTCCGTGACGGCTTTTATACCGCCTCCTTCTTTTTCCTTTCTCGGCCGTCTCACCAGAGGAATAGTCTGACCAACAGGTTTGCACGCTGCAGTACGCTAGAAATGTACAAAATTGATTAATAACAAAACATTATAATTTATCTACCTTTTAAACATAGGTTTGGTATTGCATTCAATTACCTTAGTCCTTTTAACGGACTTGCGACGGCGGTGTTTGGCGAGAGTGTTTCTCCTAGTCGAAGTTTTTCCACGGCGGTCGATACTGTCTTCAGAAGCAAACAAGCCTTTTACTATAATGTAAAGATGTGTGTGTGTGTACAAAATTACACTGTGTGTTTAATTGCAGCCTTATAATACATATAATACAGCGTAGGTACATTAACCGAGTTGAGAGAGTTGAAAATAAAACGAACGGGTCGGTTATATATACCACAAAGTCGTAGGAAACCGTTACTCTTTTTACCGTCGTTAAGAGGACGCTACACCGCCCATTTTAAGGAGTTAAGTATAGGCAATTTTTCTCAAAATCTTAATTTAGAGATTGAACTATTGTGTATACTTATTAATACGGCGATAAGGATTCTTTATTCATTGCCATTTTTTTTTCAGACTGTCGCACAATCATTTCTATAGAATAAATTGCAATTTTTTTCCCCCATTGAAACTGCTTGGCGCAGGGCAATAATAGCATATGAGGCCGTTATTAACAGCAGATTAACCATATTTTCACAACGTAAAAAAAAGAACTTTATCTATGCCGTAACGTTTTTATTTTTTTAATATGTATACTTAATCTTTTTTCATAAGCAAATGAAAAAAATGAATATTTATGAATAAATAATTTTGATTGTGTTAAAGTTATCAAAAAGACCAAAAACGTTACGACATAGATAAAGTTTTTCTGTATCCATAGTAAAAATTGTATACGGTTGCTATAAATACCGCCCACACATACTTGTATTTCCTTATATTTTTTTTACTATTAGCACATACAATTGCCCCTCTCCCGATGACCAATGATTAAAACGTGTCTGTCTACTTCACCTGCAGCCAGCTCACTGGAAGTCCCTTCGCCATCCTCTGCAACCAGCTCACTGGATGACACCTCTTCGCCATACTCTGCACTCGATACACGTTGATTCGTTGACGGCTTTGTGTATAAACAAAAATAATTAATAATGAATAGTGTTGTGATTTGTTTATTTAAATATAGACGGTTACTTGGTTCACAACTTCTTCCACGATGTCCTCTCCTTGATCACCCTTCTTCACCTTGAACATCTTCAACCGCTTCGCCGGACGACCCGGTTGGCTGACGGTAGCATAAGGCCATTCGGAGCTCTAGGGATGGGCAAAACGAAAGATAACCAAGCTAATGATTAATCCATATTAAGACACCGAGCCGGGATTAGATTCAATTACGTCAAGCAGTTCATCATCATAACCAGACCCACGGCGGCGTTTGGTATGGAACTTTTCTGACGTAGTCGAAGTTTCACCGACAATAATCACTTCCTCGATGCCTTCTTCCCGTGCATCTTCCGTAGGACTCTGCTCGATATGATTCATTGTTATATTTTATTTACAAGTTTGAAGGAAAATAATAAAGTACAGTATAACGTATGTGTGTGAAAAGAAAAATATTAAACAATAGAACTAGTTGGTTACGAAAATAAACAAGTTGGTCACTGATGTCTATGACAACAAACATTTTTTCCCCAATGCCGACCTATGTTTTTTGGGACTCTTAAAATGTATTATTTTTATACATTTGTGTTTAAGACGGCAGTTTTACATCGAATTTTTAACCTAATATAGAAATGAGGCGCGAACAGAGAATAAAGAGCAACTGAAATTACCTAGAAAAAAGTACATAGTTGGTCCAATTAAAATTGAGATAACAATATTAATAATATAGTTGCTTTAACTAAAAAATTAGTTGGCCCAACTATTAATTTAGTTATTCCAACTAGTAATTACTAATTTATTGTGTCTCTAAATTAACCATAATTTTAGTTGGACCTACTATGTATTTTTCCGCGTACGAGTGTCATCGCTATGGGTTTTATCTTGGGATTGTTCTTTACTTTTTGTTCTCTTTATGGTTTTGTTAATGTGATTTGTGTGAAAGCCTCACATGTGTATGGTTTGATACAGACTCTCGGGAACGGGGTGTGGTAACCTGTGGTCACATTAAGAGTTTCAAAAACCGATTTGAAAATACGCCCGAAATTCATGCCAGCAACCTAATGATTTAACGAATCCAAATTTCTCTTTAACTTCGCTTGCAATGTATAATCTGTGCTTTTATCTGAGAACAATATGTTTTTCGACAAACAATATTTATTTAAAAATTGCTATTTACTATACTATATCTCATTTTAAAATATATAATGAAAAAAAAAAAATAATAATAATAATATGAAGACTACTGCTGAATCTGAGTGGTTCGTAAAAAATTAGACCCAGGGTTAAACATACATGCCTGTGGCAAAAAAAAAACCAGATCGTTGTTGTTTTTTCTTGAAGTTTGCTGACTTGCACTTCGGTGTGTCAACAGGAGTCAGGAGACATACATATTTTAATATTACTATGTAATGTCTTATGTTTTATAGAAATGTAAGAAAATCCTTAAATATAGCGACCAATTAATGATTGTGATAACCACATACACACAAAAAAAAAATAAGAATGGTGTATTAGTACGTATTGCCGTTAGAACGGCATTTTCAAAATAATAATTATAATAGAACTTATTAAAAATATATTAGCACACCCATTCTTGGGCCGGTTTCTGAAACTAAATACACATAAAATCGTTGTGCCTAAAATCATATATATATATATATATATATATATATATAAATAATATAAATAATAATAGGTCCGGGGGACCGGGGTGCAATGCGGGCCCAAGTAGAGGAATGCTTATAGTGAATTTTATAAAACAATAGTAAATTAGTAACGAATATGTACAGGGTGATTTTTTATCTCACTTGGTTTAATTAATAATTGCATTTTTTCTCATAGTGTTGTTGTATAATGTGATTTCATTTTCCCACAAATTTTCTACTCCCTCTTAAACTAGTTTTTTTGATAGCAACTTTTAAAACTTAAATGGTAACGTATATATTTTTTAATCTTTTTAAATTAAGAATATTTCACTAAAAATGTTTACTAGTTGCTATAACTTGTTTTGGATAATTATTTTTAAAGTTATAAGAGTTTAAAAGTTAGGACGGGAGGGGAAGTACGGTTGGGAAGTGCGCGCAGATAAAAATAATACTACCTCCTAATAATATTCCTCCTGCCCTAAACTTGAAACTTCAAACCAAAACTGGTTATCGACCAGTCAACATTTTTAGTAGAATAATCTTAATTTAAAAAGATTAAAAAATATATACGTTACCTTTTAAGTTTCAAAAGTTGCTATCAAAAAAACTAGTTGGGGAGCGGGTAGAAGCATAATAATTTGTGGAAAATTGACATAACATTATATAAAAACATTTTTAAAAAAAAATTCAATTATTAATTAAACTCGGTGAGATATTGACTGGTCCATGATAAAAAAAATCACCCTGTTTATATACGTCTGTGCGGTATAACGTAATAAATAATCCACGATAAATATATCAACAAATTAATCCGTCAATTATTTAAATGTTAAATTTATTTTATAATATGCCGATTCATAGAATACTAGTAATTTTCTATTTAACGTAAATTAATACCAAGGTCCAACGCAATGAGTACTTAAAATAAAATGACAAGTTATCACAACCTGAGAGTCCCCTTCGTAGATTGTGTACATCGTTTGAGGAACTACACGGGCTGTCATATCTTTAAATGACGTTACTCTTAAGTATGCAATTATAACTATGTATTTACGAGGTAAAACTAACAACACAATATATATATATATATATATATATAAATATGTAGAATACTTCTACCTGGGTCCCTGAGATTGTCAGCTGGTCCTGGAGAAGTGGAGTCGAGCGAACACACACGATAAAAGTTATTTTTAATAATATTTTTTTAAAAGTTGGTTTTATTCCTTAAAGGATGTTAAGGCTAAACTTATTTTTTTATGCAGAATACAATGAGCAGTGTACGGCCAACCAGTATTTTGTTGTGGTGACACGTTAATACTGTTTTTCAGCTTAGCTTGCTGGTCGACTGACCTGGGTCAACCTATTTAATAGCATTATAAAATCGTATAATTATACCATCTTTTTTTAAAAATCTAATTATGTTTTTTTGGTATCTGGAACACGTTTTAGGAAAGACACTAATCTTAGAAATTCTTGAACAAGTAAAACGCTGATAAATTCAACAAAACAAAATTCTTACAAGACTCTAAATCAAGTTAAAACAAATATGGAGGCTATTACCGCAGAACATTATAAAAAATTGTATCATTTCTATGAGTAAGTAATAAATTATTTATTATTGATTAATAAGCTCTGAAAAAATGACTGACAATATAATCATATTTTATGAAGTGATATAAAAGGAATTGTAAATGTACATTTTGCTCTAAAAAAAAATAATATTACAAATATACAATTAACACAGTATAACAGTACAGGATATTTGATAATTCAATTCAAATTGATAAATTACTAGCTGCTACGAGTAGTCCAACCCAAGACATTTTTCGTAAAATTTCAACACAATTTTAGGGCTTAACACTTTCACCACTCGGGCAGGAACAAAATTGATATAGTCTGCATGTTTCCATTTCAGCAAGTACATTAGTCCTCCGTTAGAGTCGTTTTTCATTCCAAATACCTCCTCTGGTTCATGTCCAACGTAGCTATCAGCGGCTTCTTCCTCCTTATTTTCGATGCTACCGAAACACGTTATTATGGTACTATTTAGGTAGTATTTTTTATAAATGTTTTTTAAGTTTACGTATGATATTTAATTATGAAATGTTGATAAAAACAAAATGTACGCATTTTTGGTTTACACAAAACGGACAAAGTTGTTACTGACTCGTTTGTGGTTTCGTCGTCGCTGCTGTAATCAACACAGATTTTTGAACCGCTATCATTTTCATCAGCTGATGGCTGGTCACTCTGGTGATCGGAGGTGTCGACTTCCTCAAAATCAAACCGGTCGGTTCTAAAAATTGCATTATTGATGTAGATCGTTGATAATAATATTAATACAACCATGTAGATCTATTTGGGGTTACTTGGGTCGTTTGGACGCCGGTTCGTCGCTGCCGTATGACCTTTTGACACCTCGACCGCGACAAGAGTCCGGCGTGTTCCGGTTGTCTTCTAATTTTAATTAAACAACATTAGGTCACTAGGCGTACCAACTTAACAACAACAACAACGTAGAATATGATACCAACCTTGTTCAGCAGGTGAACCGACGGTCGAAGAACGAGCGCCGTGAGTTATTTCTACACTGCGGTGATCGGCCATTTGATACAATGTTAAATACAAAGTACAATATTAAATAATGAACACAATGTTCAATAAAAAGTACAATATTAAATAACGAACACAATGTTATAGTTAATTAAACGATACACTATCACAAAAAGTCGAATAACACTATGTAGATGTACAAAAGATTAAATAACAACGCGTTTATACATTTATAATAATTGTGAAATAGTCGATTGAAAAATTGGTAAGTCGAGACGATGAAAATTGATTTGTTATAATTTACAAACATTAATAACGATACCGGATTAACGTTGCCAAGACAAGAATATCAATATAAATGTCGTTTTATTATTAACGAGCCAACCATTTGGACACTTTTCATTCGTTTCTATGGTCTAATGTGATTACTGTCAAAAATCATATATGTATATTTTTTTTCTACAAAACTGGTTTGCTTTCAAACAAAAAAAAATGTTTAAAAGTTTACAATTTAAGTCATTTAAAACATGTTTACTATTACCGTTTTTGAAAAGAATAGAGTGAACTTTTTAATTTTTTAACACTTAATAATTTCCGGATAATATTTCTGATCGAGTGATACTATTACTGAATCATAAAAACAACTTATGTAAAAAATCCGTAGTCACTATTTTGTTTTTCATTATGTGTTATAGGTATATAAATAAGTTTTACATCCTGAATAATTTTTAGCACTCTGATCCAAGTATAGTGAGAACTCTAACTCAGCACAGTCTGAACCAAACTCATTGTAAACCAGCACAGTAAGGAATTACCAAAGCGGTTTCTTGAGCGTTTTGCTCTTAAATCATCTTCCCCCTGAGAAAATTTGGGTTTGAGGGCATGTGTGGGGAGAGAGTCATGCCTAATCAATCGAACTGATCCACCGTTTTTCGCGAAGATATATCAAATCAAAGTTGACGGTTGAAAAATGAATTAAATTTTTTTAGGGTTTTACCGGCTTTGAGGATGAATGAGTCGACTTTTTCTACTTTTGACCCATCAAAGTACCAATCGCATACGATTTCGGATCTATGGAGGTGCTACTCGAATAAATCGGTCCATCCAGAGGAAAAAAGTTACTGTGTTTACAGACACTAAAAAACATACACATCGTTGTAAATATAATACCTTATCAGCTTCGCATCGAAGCTAAAAATAAAAGAGATATTACGAAAACATGTAAAAGCAGAGGGGAAATTTTTATTTCATACCTGTTTTTAAGCTGGAGAAATGTCAAAAAATTCGTATAAAAAAATGTATTGTGAGCCATAAGTCATCTATTTACTTAAAAACAATAATTACTATAGTGTATTATTATTATAGTGGAATATATTCATTGTAATATAAAATATTAAAATTTAGATTTCTAACAAGACCTTAGAAATATTGAAACGGTTTTCGTTTCACCTATATTTGAATCGCTAACTGCATAAAGGCGACAAGTCCACTTTTTCCAATTGTTTAGTAAGCTAGGCTGCGCCACCGAAAACCATGTAAATATTTCAAACAGCATATCCTATACAAACTTCAAACTAATATCTTCTCAGCTCCTGATCGAAGCTAAAAAAAAAAATGTTTACTTGAAATTTTGAACTGTACAGAAGACGTTATTTTATCAGGTACACGTTATAATTACAGAACATTACAGTTTAAAAAATTGTCCTAAGTTTAAGGTACTACGGTCTACAGTATTGTCTTAAGAATGATATTCTAATAAACTGGGCGAATAGTCTTTTAATATATATATATGGTCTGAAGGTTAAGTTTCTAGGTTTAACCCATGGATTCTTTCTGGATGCTTTGTTTGTACCGGCATATGTCCACGGAAATATTTTTTAGAATCTACATACATCTATATCATTTTTTATGAATGCATTTTTTCCGGTGGTCTTATAGCTCACACAAACAATAGATACCACAAAAATGCACTGATCTCACAGCTGTTGACATAAACATTAAGGATCAATAATAATCCATAGTTTTATTCCTTAAAGGCTGATTAACCTCATTTTGTTATGCTGAATACAATGAGCAGTGTACAGTCAGCCAGTATATTCTTGTGGTATCACGCTAATTCGGTTTTTCATCTTGGCTCGCATGTCGATCGACCTGGGTCAACCTATTTGATAATAGTGTCAAATCTTATAATTTTACCATCTTTTTTAAATATCTTATTATGTTTTATGGTATCTGGAACATGTTTTAAGGAAGACACTAATCTGATTCCTACAAATCTAAGTCAAGTTCAAACTAATATGGAGGCTATTATGAAAGAACATTATAAACATTTTTATCATTTCTTTGAGTAAGTAATAAATTATTTATTATTAATTAATAAGCTCTGAACAAATTACTGATAATATAAAAATATAGGTGCACATTTTGTTGTAAATAAAATATAATTTTGGAATTTATTTTTTTTCATAATAAGATAAAATTGTATATTAGAAATCTATTAGTTTAGGTACTAATTTTAAATAATTTGTTATACTTTTAGCAATTAGGAGTACACATTTAAAATTGTATTCATAAACTATAATAGACACTTAATAGTGTGTATTATAGAAATCTTGTTATTTGTGGCAGTTTTTGTACAATGTTTCTTTGTAATTGTATAATGTGATGTAACTATTCAAAAAATGTTTATTAACAGTTAGTTTTTATAAAATTAATAATGGAAATAATAATATTAACAAGGTTTTATTTATGTAGGACAAATACGTTATGTGATGTAAACTAAATAGCCGATGATGGCCAACGAGTTTCTGCTCACAAAACAATATTGGCTTCTGCAAGCTCTTTATTTTTATCCATGTTCACTGGATCATTCAAAGAAAGTGTAGAAAAAGACATTTGTATCAAAGAAATGGATTTTGAAATTTTAAAAACAATTGTAAAATATTCATACACTTTTAGAGTTGATATTAAAGACGACCACACTGCTGAGGTATGCATGTATGAAATTAAAAAATATATGACTATTATTCGTTAATTATTTATTATTATTTTTTAGAACCTGTTGCAAGCTGCCACTATGTATGACATGAACTATGCAAAAGAACTATGTTTTGAATATATTAAAGGAAATATAAATCATAATAACTGTGTTGGTTTTATGCAGACTTCTAAGTTTATAATGAACGAAAAGATTTATAGTTTTTGTTGGTCGTATTTTTTAAAAAATTTCAAGTGAGCCATCTGATTTGATCTAGAGCCAGAACAGTTTTTAAAATAATCAACAAATAATACAAAGACATTTTTATAGCACAATTGTGAACTCGGATATTGTATTAGAAAAACTATATGACTCGCAGTTTAATGACATTGTCGAGCTCTTAAGAAATGACGATTTGGTAGTTGAATCTGAAGAAAAGGTATATTAGTCTAATTTACGAGTAAAATTATTTGACAAATTAAGCATACATATTGTAGTTTTACTAGAATCTGAAAATATAAATTATTTTAATGTAGGTTGTATTGTTATAATAATTACTGTTAATAAAACATTTATTTTTTTAGATATTTGATTTTATCATTGGTTGGGTAAGCTTTAAAAAGAATGAACGAAATGACTTGTTACCAGATTTAATGAAAGACTTAAAGTTGCATTTAATGTCGAAAGCAGGACTTCATCGGATTATTATTGAACCTTTAGTGAGAAATAACAAGGATTGTAAGTACATTATTCTGTTTCCAACTCACTTAACTTGTTATTTACAATAACATATTAATCTATATTTAATTTAAGTAATTTCCTTAATATTGATATTCATGATTTTCTATGGTTTAGTGTTTACAAACATAACGACAGAAATATTTAATGTACATGTTGTTTCAATACATCCACATTCGTTAGGGAGAAACTTTTCATATGAGCCTAACACGTATGTAAACAAAAGTTTTATGACTCGCATAAAACTACATGACTTTTGTTAAATATTTTCAGATAATTTTGCAATTAATAGTTCATATAGTGGCGATTCCTGTGTTATGTATATGGATATAAGAAATGAAGATAATTTAAAATGGAAATCTAGCAATCATTTATTTTTTTGTCCATCCCGCAAAAACGCAACGATGGTAGCATGTGAAAATGGAGTAATACTGGCAATATTGGTGGTACAAATGTTTATGGTGATCATGTCAATCAAGTAGAAGAACTAGATCTTAAGTCCACGACAAAACAATGGGTTCCTACAACTCCACTAAATCATCAACCTCGAAAATGGTTTGCTGCCTGTACTCAAAAGAAGTTCATATATGTTGTGCGTATTTATTTGATATTATAGTTTCTTATAAAACAATTTTTATAAGATTTAAAAAAATTTTTTTTTTATATAGGATGGAGGCACAGATTTATCAGGTAACAATTATTTGAATTCCGTAGAGTACTATAATACAACTGTAAAAATATGGACGAATATTCTTGTTCCGATGCCCACTGCTCGGTGCGATTCCAGTGCTATTATAACCGATAATAATAATTTATACGTTGTAAGTAAATACTATTTTAACATAAAACCATATTTTCTAAATACTAAATGGGTGTCTTGTGTATTATTAACTGTTAACATAACAATTCGTATAATATTTATCATTTTTCAAATTTTATTGTTTAATGTAGTTTGGAGGATGGAATAATGATGTTCTTGCAACTGTAGAATGTTATGTTTTTACATATAAATATTGGAAAACACTCAACCCTATGCCGATGTGTAATTCTCATATGGGTATAACAAAGATAGGGAACGTCATTTATCTCATTGGTGGAAAAAGTGCACCTCAAAATATTTTGAAATTCGATTCAGAACATTTTATATATGATGAAATGCCTAACATGTGCTTCAATGAACAAAATGCAATATCGAGTCTGTATATTTGTATTTATTTAAGTATATTGCACATGTTTTTACTTATATTTTTAAAATGCAGATGTTCTTATCATGAAAAAAGACTTATTCATGTTTGTCAATTATTTCGGAAAAATTCATTGCGAAAGATATGACACAAAC